AGGAATGTGGGTTGTTATGTTGATCTTGGCCCTCTTTCTCCCTTCTCAAAACCAGTTGTTATCAGTTTGGGGGTGAAAATTGATGCTGGACTTAAACTTGATGCTCACATCAACTCAGTGATCCGGTTCAGTTTCTTTCACCTGAGACGCCTTGCAAAAATCAAGCCTATGCTGTCGAGAGCCCATCTGGAGCGGGTGCTGCATGCATTTGTAATTTCTAGGCTTGATTACTGCAACTCTCTCTATGCAGGGTTGTGTCAGTCATCACTGCGTCGCCTACAGGTTGTGCAGAACAGCGCAGCCAGGTTCCTGACTGGGACCAGGAAACGGGACCACATCAGTCCGGTTCTGGCCTCCCTGCACTGGCTTCTGGTTTGCTATCGTGCACAATTCAAAATCCTCGTCTTTGTTTTACAATTTCTTCCAGGGTGGTGGTCCCCCCATCTAGCCACACTCCTGAACAAACATTCCCCATCACGCACTCTGCGCTCCTCTGACCAAGGCCTGCTCGCTGTCCCTTGTTCTAGGTGTCATACTCGCGGGGACCGGGCTTTCTCAGTCCTAGCACCGTCACTCTGGAACCAGTTGCCACCCTCAGTTAGGCTGTCCCTATCTCTGCCAGTCTGTAAGAGTCGCCTAAAAACCCACCTCCTCCGCTTGGCGTTTCCTGAACATGTTTGTTTCGGCCCTCTTTTACGTTGAATTTATTTCACAGTTTTCATTGGTTCACTCTATCCCTTGTTTTACCCATCTGTCCTGTACTAGAATGTTTCACCTTTTTTTCTAATTTGAATTGCTTTTATTTTTGAATTGCTTTTATTTTTGATTTATTCACTATATTTGTACTTCTACTGTACTATGTTCAGCGCCTTGGGCTTCCTGACAGGGTTGCGGAAGGCGCTTTATAAATAAAGCTTTGATTGATTGATTGAAGATTTATTTCTAAACAGTTTAAAACAAGGCTAACCAACTCTAAACACTCTTGTGTGTTGAATGGATCTAGGTGTGAATGAGGCAAGATGGATGGTGTATGTGGAATGTTGTTATCAGAACTCTCGTTTTCGGGGAAGCATTAGTTCTGCGTGGAAGCAAATGTTTTGCTCTAAGCTACAGTCGGAGTTTCAAAACCACATTCAGACGCCATATTGCCGCTCTACATACCGTTGGTGGAGACCTCCGTTCAGATCCAGAATGTCAGGTCCTCGGACCCCCTTTTGGTACCGGAACCGATGAAACCGCTTACGGTACAACAGACTAGTCTTGGAATGCCTCCAGGTAAGCGACAGGTGGTGACAGCGTCAACGGGACCCTGAAGGGTCAGTGAGTTCAGCTTTTACTCTGAAGGAGCGTTGTGTTCAGGTGTAGCTTGCAACAGGTTTATTATCCAGCTTGTCAAGGTTCTTTGTGGTTAAAAAGTCACGAGTGGCCGGCTCGAAACTCTAGAACATTTGAACTGAGTTAAGGGTGACGTGGGAATTAGTTTTATAATTCAGATGTTTTGATTTATGGTCGAATCAGGATTTGACTACAAAAGGGGATTGTATAAACACCACGCAAAGCCAAGCCACACGTCAGAATGAAAGCTCTGATTGGATGAGAAACAGGAAATGTGTCATGTGACATAACATTCTGTGTGTCATTAGCGTCTAGTGCAGCTGTTTAAGGTTATATTCTTATACAAATACTACTGATTATAGTATTATAATTAGAGTAATAAACATTGTCATTTCACAGATTGATTTACATTGGGCTCACATTATTATTGGACTAACAGACGTTATTTAATTATTATTCAATAGAGTTCTTCTGATTTCTAAAATAGTTCTTCTTGGTCTTCTCTTGAGCTGTAGGAGGAGGCAAATAGCTAGTTAAAACAGTTTAGATGCAGAGGCATCAAAGGCCTTGAGCAATACCGTAAATCCTCTAATACAGGCCCGGGCCTGTATTTGACTCAAGCTCATCAAGCTCCAGGCCTTTATTGGAAGGAGGACCAGAATTAGAGGCATGCCTCAATTTCTATTTGAGCAAAATGAACTAATGGTTCGCTGGAGTTTTTGACAATTAATATTGCGCCCACATTTTCAAAGTTAAACACATTTCTTTTAACAACGGTAGTTTCTGCTTCAGCCCCCCGCACAGCTGCTGCAAACTCACTGATGCGCCTGCAGCCTCTCGGAGTTCCTGCTGCTCTAAACATTAAAATAATTATTTCATTTTCTGTTCCTCACTTCTGATTACCTTCAATGGTGTCTGTTTGTTGCAACCACCAGGTACAAAAACTAGCTTGTTTTTGACTATTTTTCTGTCCTGTCTGTTTATTATCTTCCAGCATCTCCTCTCAATCCTAAAGAAAAACTGCTACCTGGGTTCATATATATTCACCTTATGAGTTACCTTTGAACTGCAGTTCTAAAAGATCTACCGACCGCAAAAACTGCTGAGTGCTCGCCGGCCACATCAGTTAGGTGCGTCACCAAGGACAAAACAGGTGATGCGCCCCGATCCACAGCAGCGAAACGCATCAGGCACAAATAAAAGAATAAAAGACAGAAAACATAAAAGGAAATGAGCCATAATGAACGATCGCGTGTTAAAGTAGTTTTTGAGGTGGCGACACCTGATTTGATAATGTTACTGTGGCCGTGCTCAGGACGCAGATGTCTGGAGGGCTTCAACAATCAGAGCTTTGCATGTGCAAGCTGTTTAATATGAGGTTAGGATGGGGGTGAGGGGAAGGTTAAATTGCAAGAGGGTAAACGTCACAATTTGGTTAAATGTCCGTTTTACGGCGAGTGTCAGTACCGACGCTCTGGCACAGCGCGTTGCCTCCCGACGCGCAGGAGCTCGTCACCTATAGAGCGGTGAAGTCGACTAGTGACTAGTTCATACAACCCCTGCTACTGCTCACCAGAGTGTTCTGCAGCATAATCAGCACATTCTCTTTGAACTTGATATCAAATTTTCGCCTCCTCTTCGTCTCTGCACGGTTTAAGTTACCCTCGCGGTCTATCACTGGCAAATCAAAAGTGAGACGGATGACACAACCGCCCCCCATACTTGCTTGTTACCACATTCCACCCAGCCACAATAAAACACCGGCCATTATTCACCTCCGCCGACTCCCGACACCGGCCAAAATATGATACCCGGCAGTTAATTAAATACAGTCTAATATTAGAGGATTAACGGTATCTCTAGGAGATTAGTTCTTCATGAGGAGAGAGGGGAAATGACCTTTAGGTGGATAACAGTCCCTTCATGACTCTACAGTGGCTTGGCAATCCATCTGTCTCCTCATGTCCTTAACTGTCAGCTGGAGTCCCCTGTTATCCCCCTGCAGCTGCTGTACAATGTTCATGATCCCGAGGGGGATGGTGGGTGACACTGGTGTCTGTCCCACACCTCCGATTGAACCAGGGGTCTCGGTGAGGCCCTAGCTTCATGTCTTCTCAACCTATCTCTCTTTAACCTTGGGCTGTTCAGCAGTAGCAGTGGGTGGCAGTGTATATCCTTCATAATCAGTCATCCATCCTGGTAGTCGTACAGTCCTCTGTGGACGTACACCTTCTCTAAGGGGGGGTCATAATTCATCTTCACTCAGTAATCATCCTTATCCGGCTTGAAGGACCAGTTTGTTAGATTTCTAAGACAAGTGTCCGGTTCACCAAGGTGGTGATCACAGAGAGTGCACTAGTTAAATGCAGATATAACTCTCAAGCAATGATGAGGCCAGGTGATGATTTTTCTTCTTTATTTAACTGGCAGAGATGGGGTGTAGGTGTGTAGATTGAAGGACAGCATGCGGCTTAACATGTCATCACTGGTCCGATCAGGCAGGGGGCCATAGAAAATTACAGAGTCCGACATTGTTTAGGCAAACTTACACACCGAAGCAACATTAATTTTTGTGACCTCCGATTGGCGTAACCGGGTGTCGTTACCGCCAGCGTGAATAACAATCTTACTGTATTTACGCTTATCCTTTGCCAGCAGTTTCAGGTAAGATTTAATGTCGCCTGCTCTGGCCCCAGGTAAACATTTAACTATGGTTGCTGGAGTCTCTAATGCCACGTTTCTGACTATGGAGCTGCCAGTGATCAGTCGACTCAGTGGGTGCGTCGCTGAAGACAGAAGTAGCCATAGCCGTGCCGAGGCTAAGCTAACTGAGCGAGCAACCCTTTCAACACCAAATAAACTGCGTGCGAACTCAAATGTTTCCCTAAAAGCTAGGTGGAACAACATAAAATGTGTTTTTAGTGTGCTTATGTGCTACAATAACTCAGAAATGTACCAGTACTGAGAAATGTCATCAATTTTAGCTAGCCATAAACACCGAACAGCTACACGGAGTGCAACACTTAAAACAGGAAGTGACGCAAAACGTCTTACCGCAGTAAGTGATGATCAACACTAGTGCAAGGTCTCAACCTATGTGTGTGTACGTGTGTGTATCAAAAAACTCAACACTCCACACACTTAAAAAAAGCTTGCTACGCCCCTCTACACAATAACATTTTTAACTCTTAATATATGATTTTAATGCCATAAACATGTGAAGATACTTTATTATGTATTCTTAAAAGGTTATTACTCTACTTTTCTTTTGTCAAAATGCACCAAATAGATGTTTTTAAATATAAAATGTCAAACATTTTTTAACTATTAATTAACTGACACCAGTAGGAGTCACTGTATCAACACAGGAAGTGCATTAAAGTCTTAAACTCTGTGGTGTAAAATATAACTACATCCTCAACCTCTGGAAAGTAACACTCTTATATTTGCTGTGTATGTGTGGTTTTCACTAAGGTGACAAGCTGCTACTATTTTAACAATTAAACTAAGCAGATCTTTTAGTAATAAAATGCAAAGTCAGTTTGAACCACTATCATTTGTTGCACTTGTTTCTGGTGCACACACACCCAGTTTTACTGCTTTGGCCCATCATTCTAGTATATGTAAGGTTAACATTGTTTGTAATGTGTTTGTGTTCCCTGTAGATGTTCAGCGGTTGATGCTGATTTAAAAAGCAGCTCCTGAACAACTGAGGTCTGGTGTTAACCAGAAGGATCTGGAGCCCCTCAACACGACTGAAGAAATGTGGGAGCAGCTTAATGAGATGGAGACTGATGCCACCAGGACTTCATTCCCTGCAGTTTCTTGCCAGTTTGAGGAAGGAAAAGTTCAGTTGCCACAGTTTGATCAGCCCCAACCTAAAGACAGAAATCTTTCAGCCAGCAGCACCACTGACCAGATGAAAGCAGCAAGTGGTAGAGAGGACTGTGGAGGAGCAGAAAGTACCAGGAGTCCAGATCTAAATCCTTATGAAGATGATTCCCACTCTTCAGAGACTGAAGACAGTGAGGATGAAGATGACCAGAATGGGAACAATTCTTACTGTAAACTGAAACTCTTCTCAGCCTCTGAGCCTAAAACTAAAGACAGTGACAAAGACCAGAATGAGAGCAGGTCTTCTAAATCAGATGTTAAGGCGGTCAAGTCTTTTCACTGCCCTGAACGTGGTAAAGAATTTCTCCATAAGCGGTCTCTCCAGAAACATGTAAGAGTGACAAGTCATTCAGGAATGAAGTCTTCTGGCTGTGGGGTTAATAAGAAATGTGTCAAAGTGAAGAAAAATGTAGAGCTCTCTGGACAAAGATTTGGCCAAAAGGAAAAGTTAAACACATACACGAGAATCCTCACAGGAGATAAGCCGTTTTTTTGTGACCTCTGTGGGAATAGATTTAGTGACAAGGGACATTTAAACAGACACATGAGAGTCCACACAGGAGATAAGCCTTTTGCTTGTGAGCTCTGTGAACAAAGATTTAGCCAAAAGAGTAGTTTAAAAACACACATGAGAGGCCACACAGGAGAAAAGCCTTTTGCTTGTGAGGTCTGTGGGAATAGATTTAGTGAAAAGGGGCATTTAAACGCACACATGAGAGTCCACACAGGAGAGAAGCCTTTTGTTTGTGAGCTCTGTGGTAAAAGATTTAGTGAAAAGGGAAGTTTAAACAGACACATGAGAGTCCACACAAGAGAGAAGTCTTTTGCTTGTGAGCTATGTGGACAAAGATTTAGCCAAAAGGGTAGTTTAAATGCACACATGAGAGTCCACACAGGAGAGAAGCCCTTTGCTTGTGAGCTCTGTGAGAATAGATTTAGCAAAAGGGGTAGTTTAAAAATACACATGAGAGTCCACACAGGAGAGAAGCCTTTTGCTTGTGAGCTCTGTGGGAATAGATTTAGTGAAAAGGGAAATTTAAGCACACACATGAGAGTCCACACAGGAGAAAAGCCTTATACTTGTGAGCTCTGTGGGAAAAGATTTGGTGAAAAGGTAAGTTTAAAGACACACATGAGAGTCCACACAGGAGAGAAGCCTTTTGCTTGTGAGCTCTGTGGGAATAAATTTAGTGAAAAAGGAAATTTAAAGACACACATGAGAGTCCACACAGGAGAGAAGCCTTTTATTTGTGAGATCTGTGGACAAAGATTTAGCCAAAAGAGTAGTTTAAACAGCCACTCGAGAGTCCACACAGGGAACAAAGCATCCAATTAATTACAAGTGTTCCTGTTGTTTTCATATTCTTAATGCCAGTGTTGTACTTCTGTTGGCTGTCCTATTGATGCAGATTACCCTAGATTATCAATATAAAATTTTACCAGACTTTATGTATTCTTTATTTAACCAGGAAGATCCCATTCAGATTAAAAACCTATTTTTCAAGGGTGTCCTGGCCAAGGGGCAGCAAAAGTTAAGTTACAAAATTTCTGTTACACAGATGGTTATATACACACTTAAAGAAGGCAGTTGTAACACAGGGAATCTGTCTCAAAATTTCTCAATCTGGTTTTAAATGTATGAAGGAGTTAGGTTCGGTTAATTTCCTTCCACCTTCCACAAGAAGAAGCAGAGTGAATAAACGCCCTTTTGATACTCTGTATAAGAAGGGCCAAAGCCACCTCCACCTTCTGAGGAGGCTGAGGTCCTTCGGAGTTAATTCCCTTCTGCTAAACAATTTACCGTTCTGTTGTTGGCTTTGTTCATTCTTTGGTGGCCTGTTGGGGTGCAGGCAGCTATGACCGAGACAGGACGAGACTGAACAAGCTAGTGCCACTCTGCTTTGCCCACCTGATTCTGGTGTTGAGGACAAGTGTGAGGGTCAGGGGCGGGGTTAGGGTTGGCTACTTGGGCTTAAGCCCCGGATGTTTTCTGAAAAGCCCCAAATCTAGTTTTGACTTTTGAAGAGTAAAAAAACACGCTTATAAATTGCATGCAGTACCAAAGTCCACCAGAGAGGTGCGTAATGTCGTCCGTTAGTGAAGCGTTCTCATTTTCTGGGACTGTTTTGTTTTAAATATTTTTTCAACCACAATTCAAAAGCAAGGTTTTATTTAAAGTCTGAAGAACAATTAATTTCCCCAAGTGATCACCACTCACAATGCACACGTGCACTAAAAACCTTGTTGTAATTATTATACTTTAAGATGCCAGCACTGTTTATTGTGCTTTCTTTTATGCTGTGATTTTTCCTTTTTCTTTACTGGTGTAAATATTAGGAGCAGAACCTTTACAGTTTCATTGTGCTGGCACCACTTCCTGTTCTTGGGCAATGACAGTTGAGCTTTCTAGTTCTAATTAGTTTGCATATTATAATTAAGGTATTTTCTATTTCCTATATTTTGAGTTTAGAATTATTTCAGTGTAGCGTAGCTCATGAAATGTAATGTGATGTGTGAGATGTAATGGAAGCTACATGTTTTAGCAAAACCGTTCTTTGTATCTGAAGTCTGAGTTGTAAAAGTAAATGGGCTGGTTGTTCAGGATCTAGAGAGTTGTTTATAAAATCACCCGGCGCAATCTGTTGAGCCTACGATGCCCTTTTGTGGAGATCCCCTTTCTGATCCACGGAGTCACAAGGTTGGGATGGACATGGACCTCAAGGTACCAGGATCCGTAGATTAGCTCCAATACGACCCGTCTAGTCTTGAGATATCTCCAGGGCCCAGTTTTTAAAATGTAAGCCACTAGGATTTTTGATAAAGGTTTGGATCAAGTCTTGAAAATGGGTTTTTCAAAAGAAAAAACAGATTACATAATCAGATTAGATCACGTAATCCAATCTTGGTTTTGATTCAGGTCAAACCTTTAGTTAGGGTTTTTCAGACCTCTTTTGTATGTATCTCTATCTATCCATCCATCTATCTATATAGATATATATAAAAAAATAAATATATATTTAAATTTTTTATTTTATTTTATTTTTTTAATAGCGACAATAGTTGTCAAGCCAAGCTTGGATTTTTTTCAGAGTAGGAACCATCTTCAGCAGAAGGGGTTCCTCAGGGAACAATAAAGGTGATGCACCACTCTGAGAGGTAACTACCTGAGAGCATGGTGTTCTGAGTCAGCCATTCAGAATGTTAAGAACTAAATATCAGAGAGGCAGCCGGTAAGATACATTTATAACACATGCTGGTTGTGTATGGACTTTGCTGCTGGTTAAATAAGAAACTGTTGACCTGATTGTTTATTTGCTTAGGCGTGGTCCAAACAATTGAGATTCTGGGTGATTTGTTTGGTTTCACCATAATATTGGTGTTATTTGCCAAGTAGTGAGATAATTACTTTGTTTATTTATAGAGTCAGAAAATGCTTGTAGCAAATTGCAAAACTGTAAAACTAATTTAAGGGTATATGTTTGCTTGTTTGAAGGTTTTTCACCTGACCTGACCCGAGCTGACATGCTGAAAAATAAACATAAAAGCAAAAAGTAGACCATCGTTTCAGTCTCTGAGTGAAATCCAGTTCCTCAACTCTGGGTGGATGTTTATCCCTCTCAAGTGGGAAGGCACAAAAGCGTGCATGACTTGCCAAGAGTCGTCTCAAGGCACTTCACATAGTAAACATTCCAATTCAGGTCAGTCCATTAAGCCACTCAGTGATTTGGATCACTTTGATCCAGACAATCAGGATTAAACGGATCCCATCAGAAGGCTGGATTCAGTGTGGATTTCATGCCCAAAATGTCATGAAAACTTTAAAAATGTATCAATACTATATTTTGATCATGGAGGATCAGCACCTCCAAATCTGAGACCATGGTTCTCGACCAGAAAAGGGTGGGTTGCCAACTCCTGGTCGGGAGAGAGGTCCTAACTCAAGTGGAGGAGTTTAAGTATCTCGGGGTCTTGTTCACGAGTGAGGGTAGGAGGGATCGGGAGATCGACAGGCGGGCCGAGCCGATCTGTCATGGTGAAGAGGGAGCGGACCCAGAAAGCCAGGCTCTCGATTTACCGGTCAATCTACGTTCCAATCCTCACCTATGGTCATGAGCTTTGGGTAATGACTGAAAGAACAAGATCGTGGACACAAGCGGCCGAAATGAGTTTCCTCCGTAGGGGGGCCGGGCTCAGCCTTAGAGATAGGGTGAGGAGCTCGGACATTCGGGAGGGACTCGGAGTAGAACCGCTGCTCCTCTGGATCGAAAGGAGTCAGCTGAGGTGGTTTGGGCATCTGGTCAGGATGCGTCCTGGACACCTCTCTGGGGAGGTGTTTTGGGCATGTCCTGCCGGCAGGAGGCCCCCGGGTCGACCCAGGACACGTTGGAGAGGTTACATCTCCAATCTGGTCCGGGAACGCCTTGGGTTCCTGCCAGATGAGCTGGTGGAGAAGGCCGGGGAGAGGACGGTCTGGAGCACCCTAGTTGGGATGCTGCCCCCGCGACCCGGACCCGGATAAGCGGAGGAAGATGACGACGACGATTTTGATCATGCAGTATCTTACGAGATATCCTATTTATTCATACGGTTTTAATTTTATTTGTTGGCTTTTCAGTATAGACCTACAGCTGTCACACGTCAGGTGAGTTAAGCGTTTGAGGTGAGGATCCAAAGGTGCAGGGGAGAAAAGCAGGCTGGTGAGGACTTTCAAAGAGGTTTTAATGATGAGCACATGAGACGATTGTAACAGTTTAATTTACATTTTAATTAATGAGACATAAGACATGATTCCGTAGTAAAATGAAATCAACCTTATGGATCTGAGGGTACTGTTTTTAAAGAGGTCGTAATGCCCCCCTCAGAGTCTTACCCCACCCACATATCAATTTTAAAAACTGCAACATTAGTAGGCGTTGCCTGGAGGACCGAGAGGGCGGAGCCGCGGTAGTGACGAAGACGATGGCTAACTAGACGATGCTAGCTCCCTTCACTCTGAGCAGTTATTAGAAGTGGAGGACGTTTCTCCCCCTCCTTACCCAGACACTCGAGAAGAAAGGGACCAAGTCTATTTGGAGGAGACAAGCAGACCTGAGCCTTATTGTTTTGAGCTTGTGAGTTGCCTGAAACTAGCGGAACCGACCCAACAGAACCAGCTCTGAATGGTAAGTAGCCGTTAGCCATAGCATTGGATTAGCTGCAGGGTTTGGCTCCACGGCCCTAGAGCTAGTATTCAGCATGTTTTAGAGTGTTTATCTGCGTCAACACACCTGGTTTTAATCAGCAACAAATAGCTGAGCTGCTTAATAGCTAATCTAACCTGTTAAAGCAGGAAAACCACTGAAACGTGCTGGATAGCAGCTTTCCAGGAGCCCTGGGCTCAAGTTAGTCTGCTGCATAGAAAGTTATGAAAATACCCCATGAGAAAATTATTCTGTAATGTGTTCAGCCCACTAAAACTGCCCTGATTTATTTATTTACTGATAACAGCTGCTCTCACGGTTCTAGGTCCTCTGGTGTCTGCAGGTGGTCTCCTCTGCTGGTGTCGTCAGGATCAGGAGCTTCCGGAAGAATGTGCCTTTCGATGACTCTTTCCCCCTTATTTGTTATATTAATTAAATAAATCTCAATTTATATATTTCCTGTTTTTGTTCATGTTCATAAATACTTAAACATGCTTGAAATTAAAACGAGCTTTTAACAGTGAGGTGCTAGTTTAATTCATCACAATAGAGCTACTTAAACATGCAACAAAAATGTGATAATCAATGTAATTTATAAATATCCATTAAAATATCAAAACTGGAATCAAAATGAGATATTTGGCAGCACAAAAAACTTGTCAAACACAATATTTATTATAATAATTGTAGGCAGACAGGAGACAGAGCTGATGGAGGTTCTCAGTCATCGAAGGATGGCTGAAGGCTTTCCAGGAACAGGAGATGTGGTGTTGTCTCTTCTCTCTATTCTGCCAGATGAGCTGATAGGTTACAGGTGTGTGAGGACATCCTCATGCTGTCACAACCAGATGACAGGAGTTATCAGGTGATCAGCCAGGCTAATGAGATGCAGAAAGAAAACAAATACAGGACAGTGTACAGTAATATGTGGTGTTGCTCACCTTATGTGCTCTTATAGAGTATTAACGTGTGCCTGCCTCATGGTGTAGAGTCCATATTTTGCTGAGTGTCCTGCAATAATGCAGGTTATTAGTTAATTTACTTTTGATAGCAAAAACAAAATATTTAATGTAAAAGTTATTTACCAGGTGAATCAGCTCACACGTCACCACCAAGTGTCACAGGGCCAGAATCAGTAGCCTTCTTCATGATGTCATGATGTAATCACATACTTATTTATCTGTTAATATCTTAAAAATTCTGAAATGTTTTAATTTTTTTTCCTTGAATAGTTCACTGAGCTTGCACTGTCACTGAGGTGGAAGCTGGAATCAACAGCAGACACCTCACATCTTGGTCTTTTCAGGGGTGTGGACGCTGCTTTGGGACTTTCTGGAAGATGAATTTCCATCATGGTCCCTGTGGGTCACCAGACACACTGCGGCTGTGAGCTCTAAACTGCGTGGCTATGTAAAAACAAAGAAACAGCACATTTATAAATGTTTAAAAGAGCATAAAATCACGTGTAACAATAATCTGTAAAACAAATTAAAACTCGAAGGTAATAATAAAATGTTTACATAAAAGATTATTAAAAATAATTCACCTTTGCTACAGGTAAGGCTTCATGTCAGCCTGGACAAGTGCATTCTTGCAGCTAAATCAGTCTGACAGCCAGTTTCTTGGGTAGATTTAGCCTGAAAAAAAAAATAGAAGCACATTGTTGTTGGGAGTTTATAAAGTCAGATAATATACAAAATAAACTGTCCTATATAGGCGCTTTATAAAATTCCTAGTGTGTGATCGTTGTTATAACGTAAAAGTCAGTCACACATGATGTGGAGAGCCTGAAATGCGACCTCCTAAACAGAATTCCTCACGGAACCGGGTCACAAGCTGGATTTCACGCTGTAATGCTGTCTGTCAACTAGTGCTGCGTTAGTTAGTCACTGTTGCAGAATTACCGACTGACTAGCTAAAGGAAGTGAACCACGTCGCTCAGACTTTGCATTTAGGTAGGGAATTGTCTTTAGAAGATGTCAAAACTTTTATTACTCACCTCAGACTGGAGCCCGCCGTGGTGGGGGAGCAGAGTCAGTGGGCTACATCTAAATCGCGGAAGAGCCACGGTGGGCAGCCTCCCTCTTCAAACGGAGACGTGCAGAATCGCGGGTAAAATGCTGGTTGCAAACTACAGCACCAGGCGAGAGCTGAATGTTTTCCAGACACCGATTGCGCACAACCACTGGCACCTAATTTCTAAGTCCAGCGGAAAGGAGTACAACCCCACAGAACCACCGCAACCATACTACACTACACCTTCTCACCATACTAACACGATAAGGAGCACTAAACCCGAACTACTTTCCTAATTACACTAACAGCCAAACACTAAACTACAATATCCAACAGCCAAACTAACACTAAATAAGTATTTATAACACTAAAAGCTATGCTAAAGATTAGGATATGCTATATGCTAATGCTGAACTACCGCTAACCTCCTACGCTCGCTTGCAAATCCAACTCCGAACTCGCCACAAGGCGTGGCAGAGACTCTCGTTGCTTTTATAACTTTGACACAGAGCTGCTACGTAGTACTCTACTGGTTTACGTAGTATACTCTTTAGCCATTGGCTAAAATTTATTCAAAATGAGTCAAATTCTATGTTTTAAGCTGAAGGTGGCGCTATACTGTGGTATTTAGGCAGAATTTTTAATTTTTAAAGAAAATGCACCAAAATGCTAAAATAATGAATACACACATTTAAAACACTATTAGACACTCATTTATACAGTTCATCAGCAAAAAAAAAAGTTAATTTAGACGTTACTTGCTCTTTAACCAGAAGATTGGAACTTTTTATTGCAGGGATTATGTAACAACTTCGTATTAATTCAGAGACAACCGAAGAGAGAGTCAAGTTTTAAAAGTTAAAAGATTTATTACTAAACAAATTAAAAATAGACTAACTTTAACACTAAATGTATGGTATAACTAAGGTGAATGAGACGGAGGATGGTGTAGTGTGGAATGTTGCTCAGAACCAGCAAATCCGACGAAACGATTAGTTCTGGTGGGAAATGAAGGTGATGTCTTCGCGCTAAGCTTTGGTTAGGAGATTTATAAACACATTCGACGCCATTCTCCGTTAGATCAGGATTGTCGAGGTCCAGCTTGACCCTTTCTGGAACCGAAGCCGGTCGGAAAAGCAGCGGTTGCCGACCAGACCAGTCTTTGAGATACTTCTGGGTACTGGCAGGTAGGAGGAGGAGGAGCATGCGCTGACGGCCCAATCAACTTCCACAAACAATTAAGACGCATTGTCGCCTAATTTACTCACTGACAATGCAAAAAAATTTATAAATCTGGTAAATATAACACACTCAACCTGGAGGTAAGTGGAGAAAATGTAGAAAATTTGCAAATATAT